ATACAACTTGTAAGCTTGTTAACAGTACTCTCCAGGTACTGCTTCGGTAACTCAAGAACACCAAAAGTGATAGACCATCCATAAAACTGAATATTTCTTCAGCCACTGAACTAATCATTATATGTTTGACAACGCTCCTGGCCAAGTCTTCCTTTCTTTCAATCGGTATGGAGACATTGTTTATTCCCATGTCAAACCACTCATGAAAAGAAGAAACTTCCTTGTTCCAAGAAGCTTCTGATTTGCTTGCCAGCAATGATGCTAATTTATCTTTAATCTCACATTTTCTTCAGACATGGGCTTGTACTCTTTGCTTACAATGTAATTGGCAAGGATTGGGCAAAAGAAATGCAGTCCGGTGCCACATTTCAGAAGACTTTGACCCAATACCTTATAATGACTGTTGTTCAATGCCTGTTGGTCATGCATCACCTCTTGTAACACCTGATTCAGACACCTGTTTAAAAACAATGGAGAACATTTCTCTTGTGGGGCCACTGGTGTCAACAGCTGGCTCTCCAATAAACTCCACCTTCATTTGTGTTGTTTGAACTGTTTTTTAACTGTATTCTACTTCATGATTGGTTATTTTCGCTAAGGAGTCACGTGAGATATGCGCGCGAAGCAAGCTAGATCACTTGCAAGCGAAAGGTTGCGAAGAACACACATAGAAACAAAAACAAATGGCGGAAAAAGACGAGATAGAAAACGAACTGCTCAAGGAGGACGATTTATCAACTAGCGAAGATGATCCGACCATAAAAAACGTCCTTCGATCGATAGATGCTCATATGGCTACTTTCGTGAACAATATGTCAAATATGAGTCAAGAAATCCGCAAAATAAAACAAACTCCAACCGCTACTGCCAAACGAGATTCTCGGGCGGTGGAGTCAGCAGAGTCTTTGACTCTAAGCAGAAAGAAAAGGAGGTCGAATGATCAAGAAGGGAGTGATGTTGATGCCCTGATCGACGACCATCCTTCAGAGCAAGAGACCGAATCAGCTGAAACTAAAGATGGCGACGAGGAAGATGCATTCCTCACAACGTTAGCTATGGAGTATTCGGCTGACGATAAAACAAGTAGTCCGGTCTCGACTCAGCTGGCTGATATCGTCAATAAGAGATGGTCGTCAAAATTATCGGACGACAAATTCAAAGAGAAAAGCGGGAAGGGGGCAACAAGTTCAACAAGAAGTGACTGCCATCGACAAGGATATAATTTATACACATCTATCTAAAGTTAAGGTAAACAAATTTTTAACGTTTTTACCGGTGTTGAAGGAGCATTTTACCATGCAAATAAGCCACTTTCGTGGTGGTCGTCTTGCTCATTTTTATCATGAGTGGGAAAAAATTACTTCCGATCGAGAGATTTTAGATATAGTGAGCGGCCAACGTATAGAATTCGACACCATGCCGCTTCAAAACTATCCAAGGTCACTATCCAAGTGTACGGAAGCCGAACAGGCTGTCATACGGGCTGAAATTGTGAAACTACTTCACAAAGCTGTAATTATTCATGTACAACATGAACCTGGAGAATTCATATCTCCAATTTTTGTACGCCCCAAAAAGGACGGCACAAGTCGAATGATTTTAAATCTGAAAGATCTTAAACAGCATGTAGAATACCACCATTTTAAAATGGAAACACTCATTGATGCTATCAGGCTTATGACCCCTAATTGTTTTATGGCGTCAGTGGATCTTAAGGACGCGTATTATTCGGTCCCTATTGCCAAGCCACACCAAAAATATCTAAAATTTGCATGGGAAGGTTCACTATATGCATTTACATGCTTCCCAAACGGGCTTGCTAGTTGCCCACGGAAATTCACAAAACTTCTTAAACCAGTATATGCAGTTTTGAGAAAACTGGGACACATTTCGTCATTGATGATTCATATCTACAAGGGGATGACTATGTCAGCTGTCTAGAAAATGTTATAGACACTGTCCGACTGCTATTTACACTAGGGTTTGTTATTCACCCTGACAAATCTGTGCTTATCCCAACACAGAGACTAATATTTTTAGGATTTATACTTGATTCAGTTCTAATGAGAGTCTATATGACACCTGAGAAAGTAACTAAGGTCATTGAGATGTGCTCTAAACTATTAAAGAACACTTCGCCGACCATCAGAGAAGTCTCCCAAGTCGTGGGATATATAATTTCGACTTTCCCAGGAGTCATGCTAGGGCCACTCTTTTTTCGACACCTCGAAGGTGTGAAATCGCAAGCCCTTAAGGTCAACAAAGGCAATTTTGACTCTCTAATGACATTAAATGATGAGGCTAGAGAGGAGTTGACCTGGTGGGTCAACTCTGCCCCAGACAGCTACAATGTTGTGAGCCATGGGCTACCAGCTATTGTATTAACCACAGATGCCTCTTCTACAGGTTGGGGTTGTACCCTGGGTGAAACTAGGACAGGGGGAAACTGGACCAAAGATGAGGCACAACATCATATAAACTACCTAGAGTTGTTAGCTGTCTTCTTGGCACTGAAAACCTTTGCAAACTCTTTAGCAGGAAAACATGTAAAAGTTATGATTGATAATATGACTGCGCTATCTGATATTAATCACATGGGTACCAGTAAGTCAGATTTACGTAATGCACTTAGCAAATCTATGTGGCTCTGGTGTCGTGCAAGACATATTTGGCTTACAGCTGTCCACATTCCTGTGGTAGAAAATGTTGAAGCTGACCATCAGTCTAGAATCACCAACACTAGTGCTGAGTGGTCACTCAATAAACAGATATTTTATGATGCAATATCTAGATTAGGGGTAACACCCGATATAGATCTGTTTGCTTCAAGAATAAACTACCAAATAGAACCATATTTGTCTTTCCATCCTGATCCAGGACCTATAGCTGTAAATGCTTTCCATATGTCATGGAAGAGCTATCAACCTTATATATTTCCACCGTTCTGTCTCATTTCTAGAATTTTCCAGAAAGTCCAGGAGGAACAGTGCACTGTTGTTGTGGTAATCCCAAGATAGCCAACTCAGACATGGTGGCCAAAACTAATGAGTCAACTAATAGCTCAACCAATACTATTACCGAAAACAAAGACGACACTGATCCTCCCGAGCAATCCGGAAGCAATACATCCACTGTATCCGCATCTAGAGCTAATAATCTGCCACTTGTCTGGAAATCCCTTGAAGAACAAGGCATTTCAGCAGGTGCTTCCAACATTATCGTCCAATCTTGGAGACAAGGGACTGCCAAACAATATAGATCTTACCTCCAGAAATGGGAACTTTACTGTAACAAGAGGAAAATTGATCCAATTCATCCCACTATATCAGATGGAATAAATTTTTTATCATCCCTGTATGAATCCGGCGTCGGTTACAGCGCAATTAATACTGCACGAAGTGCGTTATCCTCTATCCTTCTGCTACCAGGAAATGTCAGTTTTGGTTCTCACCCACTTGCAACACGACTCCTTAAAGGTGTATTCGAACTGAGACCATCACTTCCTAAATATCAAGATACGTGGGATATCTCTGTCGTGCTTAAAGTTCTTGAAGAATGGAAACTTGAAGACAGTTCACTTAAGGTTTTGTCACTCAAACTGTCTATGCTGTTCGCAATTACAACAAGTCAGCGGCTTCAGACCCTCAAGGCATTATGCATCAATAAGATGAACTTAAAATCAGACCAGTGTAGTTTTGAAATTGATGTGTTGCTGAAAACCTCTCAGCCGGGAAAACATCTGAACAAAGTGGTGATAGCAGCTTATCCGGGTAACAAAAATTTGTGCCCGGTGCAACACTTGAAGTCCTATTTGGAAAAAACATCAACATTGAGAGGTAAACATACCCAATTGTTTGTGAGCTTCCGGAAACCGCACAATCCTGTTTCAACTGACACTCTTGCGAGGTGGATTAAAACTGTTATGCACAAAGCTGGAATAAACACAGAGATATATGGTGCTCATAGCACCAGGGCGGCTTCCACTTCAGCAGCACATAGGAAGCATATTGATACCAACAAAATCCTTGCTGCCGCAGGGTGGACTAATGAGACCACGTTTAGTAAGTTCTACAACAAAACTATTGTAGATATGACAAAGAACTATGGCGAAGACCTATTGTCTGCCATCATGAGTCAAAACTCTTGAACTAACTCCGTACTGTTTATTTGTACTGTTTACTGATTTAATATTTTCACTATATATCATTCACATTGATTGAGCTTCACTGTTGTGATTTTTGCTCTACGGGTCATGACGCTTTGAAGTCTCACGTGACTCCTTAGCGAAAATAACCAATCATGAAGTAGAATTGAAAGTTAAACGAGACTTACCTGTAAGTTGAAGTTTGACGTAGATTCTACGAAATATTGGTTATTGAGCTAAGGAGTCAACCTTCCCTCCCAGTGTTGGGATATGACCTACACATTGTATTGCACAATCTCCCTCCCAGGTTGTGATGTCATGACCCTTCTGCTTTAAAGTGTGATCTAGCTTGCTTCGTGTGCATATCTCACGTGACTCCTTAGCTCAATAACCAATATTTCGTAGAATCTACGTCAAACTTCAACTTACAGGTAAGTCTCATTTAACTTTCCATTATCTTGCATTTCGTTTAGCGCCTGTTTCCACACTTTTGATTGTTGGTGCAACCGCTCTGTACCAAACGAAAATTTCACACAATTTTGTTTAAGAGCTTGCCCGAGAGATTCGTGGGCAGGTGCTGTACTAAGCTGCAATCCTAGAGGAAGTTCCTCATCTGAACTGACGTTTATTTCTTCTTCTAGCTTATGTGCAAATTCCATGTCAGAACGTATTTGGTCTTCAACAGTGCTATTTACTAAAAAAGAGAAAACTACTATCATTACACTGGGGGAGGAAGGGAGGGTTAGATAAGTTTGTTTTGTCAAATAATCAATTTAAGCAAAGCTACAAATTGTGGTAAATGGAATAATATGTTCTAGAATTCTCTATTTCCCCCAGGTTATTTTCAGTATGCCAACACATCTGCATCACAAAAATTAATCCATACAAGGTCCAAGTACCTCGGTAGAACAAGGGAACCATTTTCTAGTACTGTTAATGTTATAAAATATTAGATAAAAATCGAACTTTGGTTACTAAGCATGTGAACAACTGATGCAAACTTGGGATTAACCAATTAGAAATTATACTGAAGGTCGCGCAAGAATTTTTGGCTGATAATTTAAGGGATCAAAACCTTTGCAGAGAAGTGAAAATTTAAAAAATCCACCCACCTCCCAATAATCATGTACACCAATGTGCAATATGGCATGTTGTAAGAACTGCTAATTAGTAAAATGGACATTCCTGTATATAGCTAGGCACATTATTACTCATATATTTGTAACCCACTGGTGTGACGAAATGCAATAAATAATTTATTCCTGGCAGGGAAGTGCTGTCAGATGGACAAGCGCAATCACTGCTCATTCAGGTTCGCACTGAAGACCTGAATGAGCAGACCTATTGTAGATACTCTATGTGGTCAGTCAGGTTATCAGTTGTGGCCCGGGGTAATCTGCCCTATATCAATAGTTGTTCACCAAGTTCAACTAGGTCTCAATGTCGATAGCCTGACGGATCTGAACGGGAGTCTGCTTGTTCCCCTGTTATCTAGAGGTCTGCCTGTTCCTCTAGAACAACCTACAGTTTTAGCATGTATCCTCATTCCTCAGCCAGCTTTGAGTACCATGGGTAATGTGCCCTATACCAATAGTTGTTCAACAGTCCAATTACAGTGTAGGCATCAACTCGCTGAACGACATGCACAGAGTCAAGCATGCCCTCTGCGGTCTAGAGATTAGCCTGTTTCTCGGCCGGAACTGTTTTAGAGCACTTCTCTGCCCAACATATATGCCACAAGAGTGAGTTTCAAGTTAATGTTGTCTTCCTTAGTCACCAGCTGTTCTATTTTAATTATCTGTTTCTTTCCAACATATTCAACGTCATTAATGTTAATTAACTTGGCAATATTAGCTTGAACAGTCGCAAGGTTATGTCAAAGATTGTAGAAAACGATCATAAAAGGCATTTTGGCTTAAAAAATAGATTGAATTTTGGAATTCGTTGTAGCAATGCTTTGCTAAAGAAATGCTTTGCTAAAGAAATGCCAGTAACCAATCTGGTATTCTTTGGTGTACATGTGAAGCTGCCTATAATGTTATCGTCTTCTTAGCTGTTAACATTAACCCTAGTTAAAATAACATAATGTTAAAATTAGTAAAATGACGTAACGTTTCAGTTAACATAATGATAATCCAATATGGCGATAACTAAAGGCGTGCGGCCAAATCACTGATCTAATAGTAGACTGGATATAGCTTCTCTAGGTGTGAAACGTGAAGCCAAATTATATATGCGAAAATCACTTCCGGGGACCACAGAGTGATACAAATTACTATAGAAATGTATGGCGAACAACGTGAACCAAGGTGAATTTTCCCGAATTTGAGATACTTTGCGAAGTTTTACCAAGCTCATCGCTCCACCATGCGTAAAAGATATTATGTTAATGCTTTTAAAACGAAAATTATCCAGATTGCCCTAAAATATCGTCAGTTTTATTCGTTCAAAGTTGTCCATGCGGGAATTATATTTTATCGCCACAGTGGTATGACAACACAATTTCTAGTTTGCTTTCCAATTACGGAGACAGAATATGATCAAGCAAACTTTTAAAGGGAAGTAAGTAGTTCATTTATCATTTATGTTTAACCTTGATCCACCAGAAGGTTTCAAACTTTCAAATTATCCATCTTAATAAGCCTTTTTACAAAATATATATACAGTAATCAGTACATGTCTTTACTGTAATAGTTCTAAAGATATGTAATAAATATATTTGTACTTTTAGTACTTGTTTTTTTTGTTATTCTGTTAAACTGGAAGACAAACTTAATGAAGCTTTCTGTAGTAAGAGTGAATCTACTTTTATATTGCAGTTGAATTTTGAACTTTCAGTTGCATAGTCAGTGTAATCATGGATAATACAATCCATAGCTGAGAGGCAGAGTGTATTGTTCATTAATTTTGATAATTTATATATAAACGTTTGTTATTGTAAAATATCCATTGGTGCTTTTCCACCAAACTCCCAGCATATACAGGGTGTCCCAAAAATGTCCCCTCTGTTGTTGGCTAATTACTGTGAGTAAAACCTGGTTTCCATATGGTCATAAAGGTCATAAAAATAGTTGCAATTTTCTCAAAGGTCAGTATATAATAGTTTATACCTGTAAACCACATATAAATCATAAGTATTCACTAGTTATAATCACTCTGCATATTTTCAGTTCTAAAATGTTGTATTTCGGCTGATGAGAAAGATTATGACTCGATCTTTTGACCATATGGAAACCATGCTTTATAGTACTTAACAACAGAGGGGACATTTTTTGGGACACCCTATACATGTGCCTGTGGGTTTATACACACCCCAAGCCCAGGGGTATTCAAAAAAGAAACACTGGTTGCAGTTCAAATTAACCCTTGATAAAATATTTTTCTTCCTGGCAGCAGGCTTCCCAGACCAAAAATTTCCTGCCAATTTTTTTTATAAATTTGAATTTTGTAATTCAATAACAGCGTCGTGTATTTAACAATTATTCACTGAAGGCGAGGTGATTAGTTGGGGAGTATTCACCGATCTAGGAAGATATGACCAATCAACATGTAGTATTTGTTATGTTCCCTTGTGCAAAAATACTAAACTACCTTACTAATTAGTCATATACTACCTCAATATTAAGAAAAATATAGGTTTACTAGAATTAGGGACATGATGGAATTCTATGAAACAATATTTGAATTTTGTTTTCAGATTGTAAATCTGAATTTATATCAGTACTCATGCACTATTCAATAATAGTAGTACGCCCTTGTTTTTCACATGTATATCATAATCATGAATCATGATAACTGCCATAACAGACAGTTGTATATATAGCACTGCCACATGATACAAATTTTTATGTTATGATTGTTGTATTTATGCTCTAATTGTGATGTTTGTTACTTTAAGTACCCAGGGCTTCTGCGCTTATTGCTCTCAGAGAGCAATAAGCACACGCCGCAGAAGCCCTGGGTACGAGGTTGTGCTGATTTTTGAAATTTCTCGAGCTTCATTCTTGATATCTTGCTTTTCCTTAAAAATTTCCTGTGAAATTAAAAAAATTTCCTGGCAGCATGCTGCCAGACTTTCTCATGCCTTGGTTCAAATGTTGTGTTTTGTCACCTGGGGTTTCTTGACATTGTGGAAACAGCACAACTGGTTATGGAAACCATCCTTTTGAAGTATAGGCAATTAGAAACTTAAATTAGAGATAATTTCATCAATAATTGGCCAAGGCAACCTAAAAAAGCATGTATATTTTATCTTCTATTGTCAGAATATCACACTGCCTATAGTTGCCTGACAATTTTACTTTGGTATCAATGAGTTGAGTCCATCAGTGGTTGAGGTTTAATTAAGCAGATTATTATTTCAAATTAACTTTGAATATATTTTATATTTGTTCTTATATTTATACTCAATTAGATATTGAATGATAAATACACCCCACATTTTAAATCAATTTTGTTGTTCTAATTCAAAATTCAACTTCACTATTAAAGTAGATTCACTCTACAGAAAGCTTCATTAAGATTGCCTTCCAGTTTAACAGAATAACAAATAAAAAAGTACAAATTATATATTTTATAGTACCAACTAAGACATGTCTATATATTTTGTAAAAAGGCTTTATAGTAAGATGGATAATTGAAAATTTGAAACCTTCTGGTCGATCAAGGTTAAACATAAATGATAAAATGAACTACAAACTTTCCTTTAAAAGTATGCTTGAGTATAGTAGATCATATTCTCTCTCCGTAATTGTAAAGCAAACTAGAAATTGTGCTGTCATACCACTGTGGCGATAAAATATTATTCCCGCATGGACAACTTTGAACGAACAAAACTGACGATATTTTAGGGCAATCTGGATAATTTTCGTTTTAAAAGCATTAACATAACATCTTTTACCCATGGTGGAGCGATCAGCTTGGTAAAACTTCGCAAAGTATCTCAAATTCGGGAAAATTCACATTGGTTCACGTTGTTCGCCATACATTTCTATAGTAATTTGTATCACTCCGTGGTCCCCGGAAGTGATTTTCGCATATATAATTTGGCTTCACTTTTCACACCTAGAGAAGCTATATCCAGTCTACTATTAGATCAGTGGGCCAAATAGGCTTGTTTTTTATCATTGACCAATATAAATTATGCATCAGACCACCAATAGTTTCAATTTTTGTATTGTATTTAACTTGGTCGTAACATTTAATTCTAATTCCATGAAAATTATTCGCCAGATATTTATGCAATGTCACAGATGTATGATGTCACAGATTGTCTTGACTTAACTTGCTATATGGCAATCTCACTCTATCTAGTTAAGCAAAATAAGCATTTTTAAATACTGCATGAAAATTCTTGCATATATGCATGATTTGATTTAGAGCAGTTTACCCATAAAAATGCTACTAACATGCAATCCATAGCATCAATGTACAGCGTGTTTTAAACATAAAGGGTATTGGCAACAAAAAATTTTATTGATTTTATTGCTTCATCTGAAAGAGCATGAAAAAATAAGCCGATTGGCCGTTTACTGCTCTATTCTATCTCATCTAGTTCCGAAGTTATACGCAAAAATGTGCAAAATATAAATTGCTGATTCAGCACATTCTGTGACGTCATAAACTGGGTAAGTATGTTTATGAATAGTAAACTAAAGCATAGCTGAGTTATTATTGGCTCAAATCAAATGAAATTTTGCATACAGATAGTACATGATGAGATGCATGGGAAAATACTTCTAATTTCGTTGTCAAGGCAACACAGTCATTCCCAGGCCTCTTACACTGATTTTGAATAACTAGTTGCATTTATCTATGTGTATGTCATTTTCGAATTATTATCATGCAAGTAAACTTTTGGCATGCATAGGTATCATACACATACTTCTGATATTATTTTATTCTTATCAATACCTTGAATAAAGCTGTTTCATAAAATTGGCGCAAGGGGCCTGGAAACGACATTGTTACCTTGGCAACAAAATTAGAAGTGTTTTTCCATGCGTCTCATCATGTACAATCAGTATGCAAAATTTCATTTGATTTGGGCCCATAATAACTGAGCTATGCTTCAGTGTAGTATTCAATAAACATACTTACCCAGCTAATGACGTCACACGTTGTGCTGAATCAGCAATTTATATTTTCACATTTTTGCGTATAACTTCGGAACTAGATGAGATAGAATAGAGCATTAAACGGCCAATCAGCTTATTTTTTCATGCTCTTTCAGATGAAGCAATAAGATAGATGAAGCAATTTTTGTTGCCAATACCCTTTAATGGATATTTATTTCAGAGATAACAATTGGATATTAATTATAGAAGCCCGGGAACGCTTGGGTTATATCATGAGCTCTAAAATATGGTTTATGCCCTAAATTTCATTTACAAAAAGTTCATGTTATTATACATGTACATATATATACATGTACGGATAGTCCACAAGCCCTACAGAATTTCAGTGTAACCATCCCATGGTGCAGCAGGGAATATGTCTGTCTTTTGTCACATGAGGAAACAGCTTGGGAAGAAGGTTGCTTATCACTGTGAATGGCATTACATAACATTTTTACCCGTTTTTGCTACAACCTATGTACGTAAAAACAGTTTTGTTATACGGGTTAGGTTAAAATGTGGATGCGGAACGGAACGGATATGGGGTTAAAATGCGAAACGGAACAGATACCGTAAACTCCAACTATAACCCCCCCCCAATATAAGCCCTCCGTGTATAAGCCACCACATGTACTAACGCTCACTTCATTTCAAACATAAGCCCCCCCTGAATATAAGCCCACCCGAATATAAGCCCCCCAAATATAAGTTCCCCGAATTAATATAAGCCCAGTAATCGCTGCTTAATTAATACATGTTTATTTTCCTGTTTATGACTGACTTGTTTATGTATGACTTGTTATTACTAACACAAAACGCCCAGGGCTTATAGTTGGAGGTTTAAATTATGTTTTAACCCCATATCCGTTCCGTTCCACATTTTAACGCCAAATCTGTTCCGTTCTGCATTTTAACCCCATATCTGTTCCGTTCCGCATTTTAACCCCATATCTGTTCTGTTCTGTATTTTAACCCCATATCCATTCCGCATCCGCATTTTAACCTAACCCTTTGTTACACATTAATACACTGCTTCCATGAGATATTTGTTTGCAAGCGTCAGCAAGGCAGCATATTATTCTTGACGTGCTAATATTCTCCAAAGTCACTTGACGCTTTATCCGCCTCATGATCCGCCTCATGATGAATGGGAATATTTTGGGTTTATTGGAAGTTTGGAGGTAACTATAATGCTTTAATCCATTAAGTTGCATCGTAGCATGAGGCGGTTTCTACAAAAAAAAAAGAAAACCGACCAAAAAAAAAAACCGAAAATTTTTTTAAAAAATAAGTTTGAAAATCAAAACTACGGTAAAAAAGACACAACACGCTACTCTGTACTCACGCAAGATATTGAACGTAAGGTATTTTGAAGACGTTATCAAACTTCAATTTTTAAACAAAATCTCTTTAGTTTTTCGTGTGTAAATGCCAAAACTTGATTTATTTGCAACAAACTTGTTAAGTATGGTTCGGTTTTAGTAAAATACCGATTTTTCTTCGAGTTTTTTTCGTTCCCCCCATTTTTTTCTTCCGGTTTTCCGGTTTTTCTGCAACAGTAACATCGAGTATTTCAGTTTCGAAAAAACATAGTTTTTTTTTCTGTTTATCGAAAAATCGCCTCACCCTATTTCATTGTGTCCACCACTGTCCCAATGCATCCTACTTTATTATTTTACTCCTAATGCCATACAATTTAAATTTTACTCATGAAGGGGAGAGTGCTGCCAGTGCTCAAATGGTGACACAAGCAAATCATTATATAATGGATCATTTAATTAATAACACAGCCATAAGTGTGCAAAGTATGCAAACTAATGCTTGCTCATGTGTTGTATGAACAGAAAGATAAGCTGCAAAGTAAACATTGAATATAAATAATTAAAGATAATAAATTTTTCCATTTGTAGTGGAAGGTTCACTTTTGCACATTCCATCTCCTGGTACAGATTCCTCTGTCATAATTGGACTGTTTGTTTCACCTCGCTCTTGAGTCTGACCAGGACACATCAATTTTGTAAAATCAGTTTTGTGATTTCTATATGTTGAAACTTGAACTGTTTCTGAACAGAATAAACATTCTGTTGTCACCACTTTGCCAATCTAGAAGAATAGGAAAATAAAAGACTTTTTACATTTTTGTGTAACTTTAACTTTTGAAACATATACCAATCATAATGTAGGCAAGTCCACATATAGGGCTGGTTAGCAAAAATATTTGAGTGGCTTGAATTAAAAAGTAATATTTATAGCAAAAATTTTGATAAATTTACGAAAGTATTAATGACAAATTTAAGAAATTTAGAAAGTTAGTGAAAAAGGTATGTCCTAAAAAATTTTTAACCTAGACCCCCCCAATTTTGGTAAAAGAAATATCTATAATTGGCAACTGAAATGTTGTTGGCAAATGCTATAGAATACCCCCTGCTTTAGCCTCTTTGCTACGACCCCGACCACATATCACTAATACAGCTGTAATACAATGGCAGATTGCATTTAGTTTCTGCACAGGGGGGGGGGGGTTTGAGGACAATGGAAAATCCAGGAGAGATGTGTAAAAAAGGCCTTGGAAAATCAAGGGGGAGGAGTGAAAAACTGCAGAAATCCAGGGGGTGGGATGATTAAAGACCGAAATCCAGGGGATGGTCTGTGATTAAAGCCATTTTCCAGGGGTTTCTAGCAATGAATTCTTAGGAAATTCCAGGTAGGGGGTATATAAACTGAATTCCAGGGGGTCACAATTTTAGCTGGTAAAAAGATGTCCTCAACCCCCCACCCACCCTGTGCGGAAAATAAATGCAATCTGCCAATGTCTATGGCTCTATGCTTTATTCAAAAATAAGCATGTGACACATCCCGCCATCTATGCCTGTTTGCAGGTTAGTTGTGTGCATGATCTTATTCGCATCTTATTACATAAGCTTCAGCCTAGACCTACAATCCTTCACAAAATATATTGAGACTTGCATATTTATCTATAAAATCAGCAAATTCCTACCATCAGGAGCTCGTCCTTCCCCCCCCCCTCCCCCTTCAAAACAATGTTGACTGTTATTGCAAGCATTATGCTTCACAATTTCAACTCAATCACGAGCAACATTGCTCTGTGGGGGGGGGGGAGAGGAAATTATACTTTCACATGGGTAGTCTCATAATTTTTGTGAGGGATTTTCTGAAATTTAAGAGAAATTGGGAAAGGGTACTCGGTCTTCTTTATTTTTTTGACATTATGTTCTTTTGAGCATTTAGCTTAGTACACAAGTAATGTAAGAAAAACAAACAGTTTTGGTTTGTAAGAAACTGGTGTTAAGGGGGGAGGGGAAGGGAAGCAGGGGGGGGGCTACTGTGCTCTAATACTGTTTATATTGATTATTCTTGGAGTTTTTAGTGTGAAGTTTCTTCGAAACTTCACAGTATTGTGATGACTGGGGGAAATTCAAACGAAACAGTCAGTCAGTCAGTCATTCATTCAGTCAGTCATACAGTAAACTTTCCGGGGGGTGTATACGGTATATGTTCGTAGTGATTTATCGTGCTTAGTCTGTGCTTTGAAGGTTATTTAGGCAATTTCAGTTGTTTTATTTAAATATTCTTTAGGCCTTTTGCCAAGTTTTGCCAAGTTTACAAAAAAATTCAAGGAATTGTTGTCGTTATTGTAAATTTTATAACATGCGCTTCTTATGTTGTGTAAAGGATCTTTACCCCGGAACACCCGATTTTTTCTTTAGCAGTGCAAATGCGCATGCGCTATCAAGCCGTAGATCACAATGGCGTGACGATGCTAGGAAGGAGCGAGACAATGTTTTGAAATGTATAAACATTTCAGACGTGAATATTGAGTAAATCTTCGAGAATCTACGCAATATATAAATTGATGTTATGCATTCAATTAAGTGCCGATATTATTTAGACTGTATATTCATTTTACAGAGCTAGCAAGGAGCTAGGACAGTGCTTTTTTTCAAGTGTATATATTAAACATTTCAGACGTAAATATTGAGTCGAAAATCTTTGAGATTTTAGGCATTCAATTGAGTGCCAATATTATTTTCACGGTATACCCATTATACAGAGGTAGGAAAGAGCGAGAGTGTGTTGTTTTCAAATACATAAACATTTCAGACATGAATATTGAGAAATCTTTCAGATTCTACGCAAAATACAGTATAAATTGATGACGTTTAGGCCGTGTATTCATTATACATTGGCCACATTGGCTGTATAAGGTGCTACGCCACAGAATAGATGGCTACACTCAGTAAAAAGAGCGAAAAATTGCATCAGACAAAGCGTAAACAACTATTAAACAGAAGCGGGTGTTTGTATGGCGTTTACGAAGAAAATAACTTGTGAGTTGTGATCGAGACTAAAAGAAATCAGTTGATCGAGTCTGCAGAGCTCTTTATTTAAACAAGAAATACGAGGAGTTATAGCCAACGTGTTATCGCCGCTTACCAACAAGCTTTATGCAATAGAACTGAAAAAAGCAAGGAGGTAGCCAACGTGTACCGTCGCGGCCTTACTTTGTTTACTGTCTAGCACAACGTCAACAGTGCAAAACTCGTATTCAGTGCAATGATAACTCTACCAGATCTTACGAGAATCAATCTGTACACAGAGCCGTATCAAAGCTTGTTAAAACTACTATAAGCACTGCTATAACTGTGAAACTATTGAAATCTAAAGTGACATTATTGAATACATGCGAAAAGCTGAAAATGACTCATGAAACGCAATGTGACATTGCCATTGCGAATATAAAGTCAAAGGTCAATCAGACTTGTTATTGTGAAACATGTCAAATTAGGTCAAAATGCGGAAGCGGATGTAGCGGATCCACGGAACGGATATGGGGATAAAATATAGAACGGACGGATGGGGATAAAATATAGAATGGATGGGGATAAAATGCGTTCTTTTAATGATACAACGTCGTAGTGCTTATTATCCATAATATATCTTATACAGCTATTTGGGTGATGGGAATAATCATATTAAATAAGTTCAGCGTATCAGTAGCCTTGTTAGGATGCTTTTAGCGACAGCTGCAAATGCAAATGAAGTTTTAGAATATTCAAAATCTGGGTGTTGGTGAAACAATTTAAATTTCGAGTTGTCGCGTGTAGCATCACAATAAATAAATAAATTGTATCAGTTCCACAAGGCACGTTTCTGATCTGTTTGTTCAGGCTTGTTTCAAACGTGGTGCTACTCATGTGCCGAACGCATTATAAAATAGATAATGAGATGAAATGCCTTTGGTAACTGTTTATTTCGTAGTGTAAGCCATTAACCTTTCTAGGTTGTCGGCAACCCTATATAGTTCTTGCAGTGTCTTTTTCAATTTGAAACTTCACACTATCCTTGGATCCCTAGTTTAATCATGGCAAGAAACAAATTGTATGTCCTTCATGCAGAAGCTTATCATTTTTGCAATTTGAATAAAAACAGAAAGGTCTAAGATAAATCCCAAATCAATAACTTTAAAATATTTAATTTAAAGATGCTGTAAAGTCCGTTCTGTGCATCAGTTCTGCTCATAACAAAGGGGACCCGCAGATATAAGCATTGCCAAAATTTTGGATCTTTCTAAATTTTCGAATAGAATTGTGGAATTTATATAATTTAGAAGCATAGTGAACCAGAAAAGTGTTACATATTCAGTGAGTATATTAACATATCCTACAAATATAGCAGTTCAAAAATATGTAAACAAAGCGTTTGTTCACATTTATACAGACTTTACAGCATCTTTAAAGACGATAACTGATAAATTTGTTCAAACAAAATGAACGTCGTACTTACGAAGCAGAAAACTCGACTTTATCAATGGCACAAAGAATTCTTACGTAGAAAGTTCAAACAAAATAAGAATGATTTACATTTGCAACGCTTCCGATTTCCTGCAGGTTTTGTTGTTGTTTTTAATTTATACAATTATTTATTCTGCTACTTTAACATGCTTTACATGAAGTTTACGGTCAGGGATATTTCAGAATTCAGATCCGTCAGAGATCTTACATTGTTTGCTTTGAATAGTTTCTTCTGAAGTATATATAAGTACGAATGTGCTTTGCACGAGTTACCAACGAGTTACCAACAAGTTACCCTAAAAATCAATATACTTTTTACTATAATATAACAAGTAAACCACTAAAAAAATTATAAAAAAATTATTATTTATTTTTCTAAATTTTTAAGTGGTAACTCGTTCTATTATAGTGAAAAATATATTGATTTTTAGGGTAACTCGTGGGTAACTCGTTGGTAACTCATTTGTTATCAAACAGTTTATTACTTAATAAAGTTTATAATGCAATGCAGATAACAACATAAGTTTAATATAATTGAATCCTGTTTAAATTAACTTGGCTTAAATACTGATGATAATAATGGCATTTAAAGGACATTACAGACTTAAATTGCCACAAAATTTAATATTTAATGCGTTGTCCGTTTGACTTTGATCACCATGTCAATGCGTTTGTCCATGGACTCAATTGTCCTGTCAATAATGTCTGGTGAATAGTTCAACCGGGTCGCTTTAACCCTTGTACAAAACTGCGAATATGTCTCTTTCGTGATTCGTTTGCTCAGTGTATCATCTTGCAATTGCCTCTTAACAATATGAAAAACGTTTTCAACGGGATTCAAGTCTGGGCCAACAGCAGACATTGCTAGTTTAGCTTTTCGGCTGTTTTGGCTAGGATCGCCATCTTGCAAAAAGAGCTTGCCTTTCTTGTTGCAGCTGTTTTCAAAGAGAGTCGGAAATTGTTCTTGGACAAAATCTGCAAATTTCTGACCATTCAAGTGTCCTTCGTATTGTTCAGCCAGAATAACTCCTTTATTATGCGCAGAATAACTCCTTTATTATCGCAACAAAAAAATTTGCTGTTCTTCCCCCACTGCCTTCGTGCAATCCACAAAAGAGACAGAAAAAACAAAAAGAGACAAAAGAGACAGCACAAGCGAAACACAAGAGTTTTGTGGGTGACATCATCTATAAGAGTATGGGTTATGCCCAAAAATCCACACCCTATTGTGTGCGAAAAATGTTCTGTTAACGTGTGAACTTATGAGAACCATGCAACCCATGATAAGCAATGTGCAACTTTTTTACAATGAATTTGAAATTGTTTACAACACCAATCCTTCACAAAATTAGTCTTTATTAAGACAATCCTTCACAATATATATTGAGACTTGCATATTTATCTATAAAATCAGCAAATTCCTACCATCAGGAGCTCGTCCTCCCCCCCCCCCTCCCCCTTCAAAACAATGTTGACTGTTATTGCAAGCATTGTGCTTCACAACTTCAACTCAATCACGAGCATACTTCAACTCAATCACGAGCAACATTGCTCTGTAGGGGGGAGGGGAGAGGAAATTATACTTTCACATGGGTAGTCTCATAATTTTTGTGAGGGATTGTCTGGGAGGGGAAGGGAGGCCGGGGTGGGGCTACTGCGCTCTAATACTGTTTATATCGATTATTCTTGGAGTTTTTTAATCATGGCAAGAAACAAATTGTATGTCCTTCATGCAGAAGCTTATCATTTTTGCAATTTGAATAAAAACAGAAAGGTCTAAGATAAATCCCAAATCAATAACAGTAAAATATTTAATTTAAAGATGCTGTAAAGTCCGTTCTGTGCATCAGTTCTGCTCATAACAAAGGGGACCCACAGATATAAACATTGCCAAAATTTTGCATCTTTCTAAATTTTCGATTAGAAACGTGGAATTATACTTTCACATGGGTAGTCTCATAATTTTTGTGAGGGATTGTAGGCCTTTACTCGGCTGGCTTTGGCATGTATCTTTGGCAGGTTTGGTCAATTTCCGGCTAGCATTTGGTAATTATCGCAATGGTCATTTGCCTCGTAAAGGCATAGTTGATTTCACAAGTTTTCAAATTAGCCCCATAACTTCTTGATCCAAAACCAACAACTAAAGCAATTTACACTGTCCAGTAGTTATTACATTAACTATAAACACATTTTATGACTAAACCAACCCATTATTAATTTATAAATGTCGCATTAAATTGTATTAAACATCTTTAAAGGCCTTTAAAGTTCCAACAATTTTGTACACTGATTTATACTCAAAATAATTCTTTTATTTGCAAGACAATCTAATTTTTTAATGCTGTGCTGAGTGGTTATATTACTACCTTAAAAAATAAGCAGAAACTCGGCGTTTTGAGCGAAGGCCCTTCGTCAAGAGTTAGTAGCAGGGTTCGGGGAAAATGCACAGGCTTTTATACTAAGAGTATGAAAGCATCATGTGACAAAAAAATAAACCAATTAGATGGATTTAATAATAACAAAGTGTAAACAAAATATGTAAATCGCATTACAGAATATAATATAAGTAAAAATATAAAATAAACAGGAAGTTAAGACAATTACTACCAAAAATAATCAAAACAAAACACGAGTGGGAATAAGGTAAAAGTAATAAATAGAAGTTGTCAATGTCTGCTATAGACAGGCAAAGACAGATGGCATCATAGACAAAACAGAAGACATGTCTTCTGGATTGGCTATGATGGCATTAAACATAAGAAAAGCGTTCATTAATGCCAGAAGGGTGAACAGTGCCAAGTTTGGATATGAGGCGCATTTCATGTCGTTTGCGGCTATCGTTGCTTCCAGAAATGGGACAGAGGGCTCGAATTAACATATCTGAAACACTGTGATTGCCATCATTAAAATGTCTGGCAACAGGTTGGTTAGCATCATTGCCAATAACTGCATGCCAATGGTCACCAAACCTTGTCCTTAAACATCTTCCAGTTTCCCCAATGTAAAGCATGCCACATCTGCTGCAAGAGATGCAGTAGATGAGATGGGAGGAGGCGCACGTGAAATGGTGCTTGATGTGAAATTCAGATTTAGGTGCCGAAACAATAGTGGTGGAATCTATAAAATCACAGGTTTTACATTTCAACGACAGGCAAGGAAAAGTGCCTTTCTGTGATGTTGAAGCCTGTGTTAGGGAGCTATGGACAAGGGTTTCACAGATATTTTTGCTGTGTCGAAAAGAGACTAAGGGGTTATCGGAGAAAATGGAAGATGTTTCAGGGTTGTTTTTCAAAATATGGAAATTCTTGTTGATGACATCTCTAACTTTGAAATTGAAAGGATGATAGTTTAATACTAAGGGATTTTGTTGTTGCCTGTGACATTAGACACAGGGCCTGTGAGGGTGTTGGAAGGGGGAATTTGGGAGGCCTTCGAAAAGGCAGTGTCTAATAGAGAGGTAGGATAACCACGCTGGACAAAAAAGTGTCTCATCTCCAGACTTTTGGCCTGAAAATCTTCGTCTTCACTGCAGATGCGGCAAAGACGAAGGAACAGAGAAAAGGGAATCAACCTTTTGGTGTGGTTGGGGTGGGAAGAGGAAAATATAAGATAGCTATGGGAAGTCAGTGGGTTTGTAGAACACAGAAGTAGATAATTTGTTACCATTGATTGATACAAGGATATCTAAGAATGATACACTGGTCTCACTGATCTCCCATGTGAACTGGAGTGCTGGATGAAAATTATTAACAAAGTTAATAAAGCGTTCCAATTCGACACAAGAACATGATGCTGTGCCAAGACAGTCATCTATGTACCTACCAAGGTAATCAGGGATGGGATCAGTGTACTGTTCAAAGATTTGTTTGGATTTGTTGTAAGGATTTGACGTCCATGGTGAAAATGAATTTGTGAGTGCCATGAAAATGAATGTTCTGGAGAATTTGAAGAGCATGCTTGGTATCCTTGATATAGGATGCCTTGATATAGGATAACCAAGGGTGCCATGACACGATCGAGAAAACTGGAGATGAGTTCGCCCTCCACACAACTAAGGCACCACCTTTATCAGCAGGTTTGATAACAATGTCATTACGAGCATGGAGTGATTGGATGGCCTTTTGGGCCTAAATTTGGGGAGTTGTTCTATATCATGTCGATATTGTCGAATGAATAGTTCAAGGGACCCATATTGGTCTTCTGCGGGAGACCAGGAAGATTTTTTGGGGTTGATAGCCTCAAAAAGTCCTGGTGAGGGACGGAGGATTGATTATGGAAATGTGCTTTCAGACGCAAGCGTCTGAAAAATGATTCGGTGTCTGTCTTAACTCAATTCGATCCGCCAATATTAATTTCCGACGTATATGACGGGAAGATTAAATATTAAAGAACTTCGCGTGTATTTGCAGTAGACATACGAAAATACCACCAAAAAATTCCGCTTGATCGATACTATATATTCAAAAATATTCATATAATTTTATTGTTTCTCGCTCAATTTCAAGCGAATTTCTTACCTTGAAATGATCAATGCGGTGAAATTTATGCAAATGTCACATTATCAATTTTGCTGTTGCATTTTGAATGTTCCGCTTGATTCAAATGCTCGTCTTTTTGCTTCTTTTCAACGTATAATAATAACAAATATACCAAAAGAATCGCCATCTTCCATTCTATAGCTCGGAGCAGTCTCGGGAAATTGCGAAATAATCTAAGCCTATTATGGCAATTCTCGTGATCGGAAAGTGTTCGGCCAACTTCGGACGCCAAATTCTTGGTAAAGCATTACAGTTTCCTGGTAAAAGACTGCAGGAATCACTTCCGGAGTGTTTGTTTACCCTAGATACGGATTTTGATTGGCTTAGGCAGAAAAACAAATCTTTTAGAGCAATTTTCCTGATTATCGCGCACGGGAACGCACGAGCGTTGAAATGTATTGTGTTGTAGTTTTGTTTGAATCGCATTCTGAAGACGTTTTTGGCTTTATTTTGCAAACTGATAGTGCTAGTAATGATGGAATGTCTTCGTATGAAGACAAGTATCTCAACCTGGCATTGGGAGTCGTGTCTGGAGTTTCAAGGCAAGTATTTGTATCATTTCTAGACAATTTCTATTTCAATGTTTTGCCGTTGCCATGGCGTTGTAAATTTATTTGTATTTAGTATAGCTTCACTAGTACGACCAAGTATGTCCTCATATCGCTTTTTTGTGTTGAAATAATCGTTTCATACTGAAATTGACAAATATAAATGGTATTTATTTATATTGTTGACGAAAATTTATGGTGTTTTAGGCATAAAAATCTCTGATTCCTAGGCGAAGTAAAATGAGCCTTGAGCACATGTTTGGTTGTTTGTTACATACATAATAGCCAAGTATTCATACTTATATCTTACTAGTTGGCTCTTATTATAATTTTAAGTGGCACCATGTCTATAAAAGTTTTTATTCGCACTGATGAATATATTGATCCTGTTCCTATCTGCTGTTCCTGTTTCATAGCCTCAGGGAAGTAGAGTTCTGATGAGTCATGAGAACCCCACTCACCAACCCAGAGGGAAGGTAGGGGGATGAGTAGAGGTAGAGGGAAGCCCAGCCATTAGGACCTAAGGTTTCGAAAGCTCCCTGTCTAGCATCCCCACTAGGCCCCATAGTACATGACGGATATGATGATCCTGACGCCAGGAATGTTCTCCCAGATTTTGCTCCTCACTGACATGTCCGGGATCCATTTCGATCAACTGTGAGCTTGAGTTCATTCGGCTCAATGAACTGTGAGCTTGAGTTCATTCGACTCTTTTTTACTAAGGGAATGCTTCAGGAGGTAGTTTCCTGGCCATACCAATACATATGCCCACATACAAATAACTCAAAAGTTATCCCCATATACTAATAAAAAAGGGTCTTGCAGTCCACCAACCTTGAGAGGTTGATTGCCTTTTAGTATAATATGCAGGTTTGCTAAAGGTTGACAGTGAGATTGAAAATTATTGGAGTGTAAAAACCTTATATCATGGTCTGTGGCCAATAGACATAATTTCTCGGGTTAGGT